GCGTCTGGGTCCTTGTAAAGCGCCATGTTAAACCCATGTATTACAACATTAGACCTCCCCAAGATAACTGTGCCGCTCCACTCACCTTGGAAACGTGTGTAACCTAACGTTTCTCCACGGAAACTCTTGTAATACTTCACTCCGTACACGATGATCGGTCTACGGAGAATGTGTGCTAGAACAAAGATATGAGTCTGCTCCAGGCTGGCTCCAGGCTGTGGGGAAAACACAGGCAGACAGACAGACAGACAGACAGGCAGGCAGACAGAGACAGGCAGACAGACAGACACATGAGAATGGTGATAAGGAGATATTCAATGTACTACAGTACTCTAGTCTCCTCAAAATGGAAGGCTTAACGGGATAGTTCACCCAAATTACAAAATGACATTGGTTTCCTTACCCTGTCAGCAGTCTATGGACAAGGTATGACAGCAATCCATGCTTTGGTTTAGTTTCCCTAGCACTTTTTTCCAAATGCTAATGTTTTAGCATTGGTGGCACAAATCCCATTCAAGTCATGGGATTGCTATTAGCATTTTTTCAGGCATCATGTTCAAATCATCTATTAAGTGACTTGGTTGAGCTACACAATCAATTTGAGATAATTTCGCCTGATTTGGTCCTGATTTTGGTCATGACAGTGACAGCTGCATATTGTATAACACTTATCAGATAATCAAAGTATATCAAATAATAATATTGCATAATTTTTTTTTATTATCCAAAAGCAATCCAAATAGAAAGGCTGATCTGATGGTGTGTGTTAGTGAGTTACCTGGCTAGCCAGAGAGAGTATGAAGGCCCAGTCCTCCTGCCACTGTTCCTCTCGGAGGGAGAAGTGGAGACCAAAGCTCTGAGAATACCACGACTCCCACTCCTTCCACCGCGTGTAGAACCTGGGACACAGAACAAACATCTCGTTAGCTTTGCCTGCCAGGGTTCAGATACAACCCAAAAGGCCCAGCTATATCTATATACAGCAGTACCCATCATCTCATCTGCTATGGATCTACTTTGCCTGACAGGAGTATTCTACTCTGTGATGGGGGAGAAATACTGATAGTTACATGTCGGGATATTATTTCTGACAAATCACAATATTGTTTTTGCTCTAGTCAGCTGTACCTGCGCCTAAATTCCAGTATTTTTCCATCTATAGCCAACACTTACATTTTAGTCATTTAGCAGACGCTCTTATCCAGAGCGACTTACAGGAGCAATTAGGGTTAAGTGCCTTGCTCAAGGGCACATCGACAGATTTTTCCCCTAGTCGGCTCGGGGATTAGAACCAGCGACCTTTCGGTTACTGGCACAACACCCTTTACCACTAAGCTACCTGCAGCTGGTTTTCCATTTTCTTTTTATATGGTGGCCAAAATGCTTTTAGCACTTTTATTACCATGACTGATAAAAACTCATTTTCTCATGCTCTCAGTCTCTCTGCAGCAGACATATAGTTTATATATGTTTGGAACATCCAATCGCAATATTGGGGGGAGGGGGGGGGGTTTGCTGTAACATATGGACAATAAAGTAATATTGTATTGGTTGTCTGTTTAGCTAATATTCCACTCCTTGCACTCCATGTCATGTGTTTAGCCACACCCAGAGTTCAAGGAGTGGACTGTTAGCTAAACAGACTGGTATCCAGACACCATGTACAGTACAGGAACTGGAAGAACTGACAGGCAGGGCCAAGTGGCACCAAAGGGCAATGATTGCAGTCCATACTATCATACGCCTTAGAATCGATCCCCAACACATTACTTCATTTCAAGTGGTATTCCAGTGTGTGGATCCTGGGCCAGAGCCCGTCCACAGTGTGTGGATCCTGGGCCAGAGCCCGGCCACAGTGTGTGGATCCTGGGCCAGAGCCCGGCCAGTGTGTGGATCCTGGGCCAGAGCCCAGCCACAGTGTGTGTGTTTCTCACAGGTGACAGCAGTTGTGCAGGCTGTCCTGGAAAGCCTTGCAGAGGACAGGGTGTGTGTGTGTTTCTTACCAGTGAGAGCAGTCATGCAGGCTGTCGTGGAGGGTCTTGCGGAGAACAGAGTCCTTGTCGTATATCCCCCAGGTAGCCTGCAGTACTGAGTCTAACAGGCAGTCTCCCTGTGTACGGTTCCACAGGGCATACAGCCTGCTGTCCAACCTGGTACCCAGCTCCAAGGACCAGTTAATGATGGGAGACTCCTCCTCTAGCTCTGGAGAGGGAGGGAGGGAGGGGGAGAGGGAGAGGGAGAGGGAGAGGGAGAGAGAGAGAGAGAGAGACACAGAGAGAGAGAGACACAGAGAGAGAGAGAGAGAGAGAGAAGAGAGAAGAGAGAGAGAGAGAGACAGAGAAGAGATATAGAGAGAGAGAGAGATATACTAGATAGAGAGAGAGAGCAGAGAGATATAGATAGAGGACACAACACTATACTATAGAGAGCCAAAGATAATCATACACAGAGATATATAGATTAGAGGATAAGATAGAGAGGAGACTATGAGAGACAGAGAGATATAGACATATAGAACCAAGTTATGTTATAAGAAGACGAAGAGGAGCCCGGGAATAATTCATGATATCCGCCACCGCACTAAGTAGATCTTACCTCCTTACAGCAGAGAGACAGTGGACACACACATGGTTAGCCATTTACAGAGGTAGGGAGAGAGAGGACACAGCCACTCAATGACTTGATGCACAGCAAGGACACACATGGACGCACACAGTCACACACACAGTCACACACACAGTCACGCACACAGTCACACACGTTCAGCGACTCAATGACTTAATTCATTCTCCTCTCGTCTCGTCTCCCCTTGGCCCTGCAACAACCAACTGGAGCATCCTATTTCTCCCATATAACCCAATTACACTACTAGCTGAACTAGGTCACAAGACACCTCGGAGACCTAGATACACACACACCTGGGAGAATCATTGGGTAAGTGCACACTTAAGTAGGCTGTAAAGCTGAAACGTCTGTGTAGCTATCCCTGATGGTAACTAGCTAGCTGGTGAGAGGAGAGGGGGGTGAGGTAACTAGCTAGCTGGTGAGAGGAGAGGGGGTGAGGTAACTAGCTAGCTGGTGAGAGGAGGGGGGTGAGGTAACTAACTAGCTGGTGAGAGGAGAGGGTGGTGAGGTAACTAACTAGCTGGTGAGAGGAGAGGGGGGTGAGGTAACTAACTAGCTGGTGAGAGGAGAGGGGGTGAGGTAACTAGCTAGCTGGTGAGAGGAGAGGGTGGGTGAGGTAACTAACTAGCTGGTGAGAGGAGAGGGGGGTGAGGTAACTAGCTAGCTGGTGAGAGGAGAGGGAGGAGGTAACTAGCTAGCTGGTGAGAGGAGAGGGGGGTGAGGTAACTAACTAGCTGGTGAGAGGAGAGGGCAGTGAGGTAACTACTAGCTGGTGAGAGGAGAGGGGGGTGAGGTAACTAGCTAGCTGGTGAGAGGAGAGGGGGGTGAGGTAACTAGCTAGCTGGTGAGAGGAGAGTGGGGGGTGAGGTAACTAGCTAGCTGGTGAGAGGAGAGGGGGGTTTTGAGGTAACCGCTATCTGGTGAGTGTAGAGCTGGGGGTTGAGGTAAACTATGCTATCTGGTGAGGAGTAATACTTGTTTTGTATTTTACTCTCTAGCTTTTTATAGGATATGGGGGTGCGGTACTATCAAGCTGTTATAGGAAGAGGGTGGTTAGGTAACTATCTAGCTTGTTATAGTATAGGTTGTTTATGTTAACTATCTTACTGGTTATCAGTGTTAGTTCGGAGGGAGGTAGCGAGGTGAGGGGAGCTTTAAAAAGGGATGTGCGGTCCTAAAGATTGAAGGAATGAGGGGGGGGGATGGCTACTTATTAAGTGTTTGAGTTACTAGTTAGCTTGGTGGATAGAGTGGTGAGGTAACTAACAATGGTTAGAGGAAATGGGGGTTGATGTCTAGACTATCTGGATAAGAGAGGGGGTTAGGTAACTAGCTAGCTTGGTTAGAGAGAGAGAGAGAGAGGGGTAGGGGGGTTAACTAGCTAGCTGGTGAGAGGAGAGGGGGGTGAGGTAACACTAGCTAGCTTTGGTGAGAGGAGAGAGGGTGGGTGATGGTTAACTAGCTAGATGCTGTGGAAGGGTGAGAGAGGGGGTGGGTAAACTAGCTAGCTGGTGAGAGGAGAGGGGGTTGAGGTAACTAACTAGCTGGTGAGAGGAGAGGGGGGTGAGGTAACTAACTAGCTGGAGAGAGGAGAGGGGGTGAGGTAACTAGCTAGCTGGTGAGGGGGGTGAGGTAACTAGCTAGCTGGTGAGAGGGGAGGGGGGTGAGGTAACTAGCTAGCTGGTGAGAGGAGCAGATTGGGGCTCCTAAATGAGTGCTCTTCTCTTTTTTACCTGCTCATTTGAAAGACTGACTGATGCAGAATGACCACCCACAACATTCACACCTAACATACACTGAGTGTACAAAACATTAGGAACACCTGCTCTTTCAATGACAGACTGACCAGGTGAATCCAGGTGAAAGCTATCATCCCTTATTGATGTAACTTGTTAAATCCACTTCAATCAGTGTAGATGAAGGGGAGGAGACAGGTTAAAGAAGGATTTTTAAGCCCGGACACAATTGAGACATGGGATTGTGTATGTGTGCCATTTAGAGGGTGAATGGGCAAGACACAATATTTCTAGTGCCTTTGAACGGGGTATGGTAGTAGGTACCAGGCGCACCGGTTTGAGTGTGTCAAGAACTGCACCGCTGCTGGGTTTTTCACGCTCAACAGTTTCCCGTGTTTATCAAGAACAGTCCACCACCCAAAGAACATCCAGCCAACTTGACAACTGTGGGAAGCATTGGAGTCAACATGGGCCAGCATCCCTGTGGAACGCTTTCGACACCTTGTAGAATCCATGACCCAATGAATTGAGGCTGTTCTGAGGGGGGGGCGTTCCTAATGTTTTGTCCACTCAGTGTATATATGGCACACAGTTGACTCTCATGGAGCAGATTGTGGCTCCTAAAGGAGTTCCTCTCCATCACTTTATCTGGTCATCTGAGAGACAGACGCAAAAGGTTCACACACACACACCTCATATCTAACACATATTTGATTCTAATGGTAAATCTACAACATACAGTGTGTATCCCGGCATGGGGTTGACGGAGATATTCAGAAATATCCAGGAGATATCAAGAATCCTCTTGAGATCTTTTTACCTTTCTGTACGTCTCGATCTAACACCTCGTCAAACAGCTTCTCCTGGACTGCAGTGGGCAGGTCTTCTATGTCTGCAGGAACACACACGACGAGAGATAGCGAGGAATTACGTGAGAATAGCAGAACATGGTGAGAATAGCAGAACTGAGAAAATACATGCTTGTAATGCCGCTCCATAAAATGGTCTACATTTTACCAACAGTGACTGAACAGTAAAAATGCTCTTCACACACACACACACCGAAAGTATTCATACCCCTCGACTTATTCCACATTTTGTTGTGTTACAGCCTGAATTCAAAATGGATGAAATAACAAATTAAATCACCCATCTACACACACACACAACACCCCATAATGACAAAGTGAAAACGTGTTTTTAGACATTTTTACTAATTTACTGAAAATGAAATACTGAAATATCTCGTTTTCAAACGTTTTCACACACCACTATACCATGATGCTGCCACCACCATGCTTCACGGTAGGGATGGTGTTAGACGGGTGATGAGCTGTGCCTGGTTTTCTCCAGACATAACGCTTTGCATTCAGGCCAAAAATGTTTCAATTTGTCTCATCAGACCACAGAATATTTTGCCTTATGCTCTCAGTCTTTCACATGCCTTTTTGCAAACTCCAGGCGTGCTGTCATGTGCTTTTTTCTCAGGAGTGGCTTCCGTCTGGCCACTCTCCCATAAAGCCCAGATTGGTGAAGTATAATAATAATAATAATAATATGCCATTTAGCAGACGCTTTTATCCAAAGCGACTTACAGTCATGCGTGCATACATTTTTTTTTTGTGTATGGGTGGTCCCGGGGATCGAACCCACTACCTTGGCGTTACAAGCGCCATGCTCTACCAGCTGAGCTACAGAGGACCACTGAAGTGCTGTAGAGACTGTTGACAGCCCGCTGTCAACCGTGGGACCTTATATAGACAGGTGTGTTTCTTTCTAAATCATGTCCAAACATTTTAAAATTGGCCACAGTTGGACTCAAAACGAAGTGATGCAGTGACGTCAAGGACGATGAAAGGAAATCGGATGCACCCTGAGCACAATTTGGAGTGTCAGAGAAAAAGGGGTGTGAATACTTATGTAAATGAGATATTTTATTTTCAATCCTTTTGCAAACATTTCTAAAAAACATGTCTTCACTTTGTCATTATGGAGTATTGTGTGTAGACGGTTGAGAGAAAAAAAAAATATTTAATCCATTTTGAATTCAGGCTGGAACAACAAAAATGTGGAATAAATCAAAGGGGGTATGAATACTTTCTGAAGGGACAGTAGCTGCATGGTTAACTGCATACACAGACGAGAACAATTGGTGGCCATTATCTGGCTCAATAGTGAATACACCGACTTGACAGAGAGCTCTCACTGTAGTGGCCTGAAGCCAAGCTCCGCCTGCACAGAAATACATTCAAATCTTCTGCTGAACCCTGCACAATCCTTCATCTCACCCTCGCAGGCTGCTCTGAAACAGAATACAACCAGGAACTCTACAGTGTGTGTTTGTGTGTTTGTGTGTGTGTGTGTGTGTGTGGTGTGTACAATTAAGTGCACGTCTCTAAAATCTCAATGAAGATATTATGCCGGCGGGAAAAGACTGGATGCAGTCTCTCTCTCCCTCACTATGACGATCTACTGTACCTACAAGGACAGCCTACATTATGTTTATTCATACACTTAAACATACTTCACAAATGTATTTTATATACAGAACAACTAGAAACTGGATCAAACATTTCCGTCCTTTTTGCACATTTTTATCACGATGAACAATCTCCCCTCTGACACTTGGCCTACGGCTTTGTGTTGACCGTCAATTCATCATCGCCGAGGAACGACGGACGGAGGACAAACGGCTCGGTGTGCGGTAGAGACAGGGCAGGTGGGTCACCTGCGGGCAGTGTGAAGGTGACCAGGTCAGAGAGGAAGTAACAGTTGAAGTCTCCTTTGCGTCGGTGCAGAGAGGCAGCGATCTCCCTGCGGATCTGTTCCGTCAGCTCGCCACACACCATGGCAGGGATACACTTCGCTGCCTGCTGGGACACCTGCACGGGGGGGACGGAGGGAGGGGAGGAGAGACTCATTATGACAAGAAACCTTTTTCATTTTCTGGCACACTGCTGCTCCTGGAATAACCTACAGAATTTTGAATTTTGACGGTTTTATCCAGTTAAAGGAATTCAAGTTGAGAGTAATAGACTTGCTACAGGAGATACAGTGGGGAGAACAAGTATTTGATACACTGCCGATTTTTGCAGGTTTTCCTACTTACAAAGCATGTAGAGGTCTGTCATTTTTTAATCATAGGTACAATTCAACTGTGAGAGACGGAATCTAAAACAAAAATCCAGAAAATCACATTGAATGATTTTTAAGTAATTAATTAGCATTTTATTGCATGACATAAGTATTTGATACATCAGAAAAGCAGAACTTAATATTTGGTACAGAAACCTTTGTTTGCAATTACAGAGATCATACGTTTCCTGTAGGTCTTGACCAGGTTTGCACACACTGCAGCAGGGATTTTGGCCCACTCCTCCATACAGACCTTCTCCAGATCCTTCAGGTTTCGGGGCTGTCGCTGGGCAATACGGACTTTCAGCTCCCTCCAAAGATTTTCTATTGGGTTCAGGTCTGGAGACTGGCTAGGCCACTCCAGGACCTTGAGATGCTTCTTACGGAGCCACTCCTTAGTTGCCCTGGCTGTGTGTTTCGGGTCGTTGTCATGCTGGAAGACCCAGCCACGACCCATCTTCAATGCTCTTACTGAGGGAAGGAGGTTGTTGGCCAAGATCTCGCGATACATGGCCCCATCCATCCTCCCCTCAATACGGTGCAGTCGTCCTGTCCCCTTTGCAGAAAAGCATCCCCAAAGAATGATGTTTCCACCTCCATGCTTCACAGTTGGGATGGTGTTCTTGGGGTTGTACTCATCCTTCTTCTTCCTCCAAACACGGCGAGTGGAGTTTAGACCAAAAAGCTCTATTTTTGTCTCATCAGACCACATGACCTTCCTCCTCTGGATCATCCAGATGGTCATTGGCAAACTTCAGACGGGCCTGGACATGCGCTGGCTTGAGCAGGGTGACCTTGCGTGCGCTGCAGGATTTTAATCCATGACGGCGTAGTGTGTTACTAATGGTTTTCTTTGAGACTGTGGTCCCAGCTCTCTTCAGGTCATTGACCAGGTCCTGCCGTGTAGTTCTGGGCTGATCCCTCACCTTCCTCATGATCATTGATGCCCCACGAGGTGAGATCTTGCATGGAGCCCCAGACTGAGGGTGATTGACCGTCATCTTAAACTTCTTTCATTTTCTAATAATTGCGCCAACAGTTGTTGCCTTCTCACCAAGCTGCTTGCCTATTGTCTTGTAGCCCATCCCAGCCTTGTGCAAGTCTACAATTTTATCCCTGATGTCCTTACACAGCTCTCTGGTCTTGGCCATTGTGGAGAGGTTGGCGTCTGTTTGATTGAGTGTGTGGACAGGTGTCTTTTATACAGGTAACGAGTTCAAACAGGTGCAGTTAATACAGGTAATGAGTGGAGAACAGGAGGGCTTCTTAAAAGAAAAACGAATAGGTCTGTGAGAGCCGGAATTCTTACTGGTTGGTAGGTGATCAAATACTTATGTCATGCAATAAAATGCAAATTAATTACTTTAAAATCATACAATGTGATTTTCTGGATTTTTGTTCTACATTCCGTCTCTCACAGTTGAAGTGTACCCATGATAAAAATGACAGACCTCTACATGCTTTGTAAGTAGGAAAACCTGCAAAATTTGGCAGTGTATCAAATACTTGTTCTCCCCACTGTACATTTACATTTTAGTCATTTAGCAGACGCTCTTATCCAGAGCGACTTACAGTTAGTGAATGCATACAAGTTTTATTTTTAACCAAAGAAAGCCTCATTGTCCAAAAATATTCCACTGCAATTAGATTCATGGTATACACTGTCCTGAACCTGAAATTAAATTCAGTCTGTACATTGTCCTCCAGCACATTAAATAGCCTATGACAGGGGTAATGTGCAGTGTACGTATTATGTTGAGTGTGTAATGACCCGTGTCTCTTTTGTATACAGCAGTACTGCGTCTAAGACAATTGACCCCTCGGGACATTAAAGTTAATCCTGTCATATCCTATACTTAAACAATAAGGCCCGAGGGGGTGGTGGTATCTGGCCAATGGCTAAGGGCTGTTCTTACACATGACGCAACACGTGTGATGTGAACTGGGCTCCTACAACGGGACAATGACCCAAAGCACAGCTCCAAAACTATGCAATAACTATTTAGGGAAGAAGCAGTCGGGCTGGTATTCTGTCTATAATGGAGTGGCCAGCACAGTCACCGGATCTCAACCCTATTGAGCTGTTGTGGGAGCAGCTTGACCGTATGGTACGTAGGAAGTGCCAATCAAGCCAATCCAACTTGTGGGAGGTGCTTCAGGAAGCATGGGGTGAAATCTCTTCAGATTACCTCAACAAATTGACAACTAGAATGCCAAAAGGTCTGCAAGGCTGTAATTGCTCCAAATGGAGGATTCTTTGACGAAAGCAAAGTTTGAAGGACACAATTATTACTTCAATTAAAAATCCTTATTTCTAACCTTGTCGATGACTACATTTCCTATTCATTTTGCTATATTTCCTACTCAAACTCATTTCATGTATGTTTTCATGGAAAACAAGGACATTTCTAAAGTGACCCCAAACTTTTGAGCGGTAGTGTATGTCATTTTATGAAGCATGTCTTACTTTGTTTCAAAGTAGCCTAGTCAAAATACGACCATAGAAATGTTGAAGCAATTATTTAATAAACATTTACATTTTAGTCATTTAGCAGACGCTCTTATCCAGAGCGACTTACAGGAGCAATTAGGGTTAAGTGCCTTGCTCAAGGGCACAACGACAGATTTTTCACCTAGTCGAATATGCCATTGAAACCAGCATTTCTCATGTTCTATTGGTTTTCAAATCAACGTTGTTTTATGGTCCAGCAGCCAAAGGCATAATCCTAGTCCCATTAGTGACCCATGCTAGTTCACGCACCTTTAGATCTCCCCTTTCTTAATTTCGAACAGATATTTTCATCTCCGTCACATGAAACCGCTCACGCATTGAGAACAATGTTCCCGCTAATTGCATTTTGGAACATTCGCGCATAGCCTACAGCCATGTGCGTATTGTTGAGCTTATGATTTGAAGAAAAAAATATATAAAAAAAACTTTTGCAACATTTTAAGCTAAAACGGTCTGATACGTTGCGTCAGTCTCATTGCTTTAAAAAATATATATATATATATATATATGTGTGGTGGTTGTATGAATTTTGGATGTGGTCCCAGAACTGTCCCAGAGTCTGTTTTGAACCGTATATATTTTATGTCGTCCCAGGGACGACAGGCCACCATTAAATTTCGAGCCCTGGAGGGAATTCTTTTATAAAAAGACATAAAAAGTATTTGGTTGTAATTGTAATGTTGCAGTATTTCATAGGCTACCAATCCTCCAGGTGTATTTTGAGACAGGCTTGATTATGCATCAGAAGCCAATAGGCAGAGTGCAGGCAACATTCTGGTGGTGATAAAGACAGTAACGCATTTCATTTTGTAAAGTACTTCCTTGCATCATTACAATGATGGAAACATGATGTTAAGAGACATTTATCTTCAACAAACTGACTTGAGCATTTGGAGTAAAATATTCTGTCCTACTTGCAAAATAAAATGAATGTCAAGCCTTGTTATATGGGCACTGCTGTGCATTTAAGATTTTACACCTTTTAATCTCCTGTCAGTCGCACTGTGGTGAAAACTGAAAGCGTTCCCTTCAACCCTCTTCCTGGAAAACATAAGGATGGATTTCAAGATGTCTGATTTGTGATGAATGAGTACAGTCTGATTTTTTTTGTTTCCCTGACTTGTAATCACATTACGTTTGAGCCATTAGGACAATTGGTACTGTTCTAAATAGCTAGTCGGTCCATGTGGGGAAAATGATCAGGGTCTTGGCATTCGCCCCTGGTCTATTATGTATTTAAATGTCGCTTTACCTCAGTGAGGAGGCCAGCCAGCATGTCCTGTCTTTGGAAGCGGATGGCCAGGTGGACCAGGGTCAAGCCGTCGCCGAAGGCAGAGGGACGGTTCAGGAGACGGACCTCGTCCGACGTCATCTGACGGGCGATGTCACCGCCGGAGGACTTGTAGGCCTCGACCGCCGCCACGTTCCCCTCCACCACACCTGCAGCACAGACACGCTACATTTAGGCTACATTTGAATCATTAAGCAGACGCCTGGGCTACGTTTAGACAGGCAGCCCAATTGTGATATTTTCAGCTCTGAAAAGAGCCGATGTGATTGGTCAAAAGAAGAAGATGAGAATTGGGCTGCCTGTCTGAACGCAGCCAGAGAGAAAGTCGTTGTTGGTGATGACCGGAACAAGTCATATTATATTCAAAACACAGAGAAACTGATTGTACAGCCAGGGGTAGGCTACATAAGACAACAAATAGCACTACAGTATACACATCATCATCTATGAGGGAGCAGAAGCAGGGAGGAATTAAGTCGTAGTGTTGTGTTGGGGGACGTACTGCCACTGAGACTGTCAAGACGTACTGCCACTGAGACTGTCAAGACGTACTGCCACTGAGACCGTCAAGACGTACTGCCACTGAGACCGTCAAGACGTACTGCCACAGACTGTCAAGACGTACTGCCACTGAGACCGTCAAGACGTACTGCCACAGACTGTCAAGACGTACTGCCACTGAGACCGTCAAGACGTACTGCCACAGACCGTCAAGACGTACTGCCACAGACTGTCAAGACGTACTGCCACAGACTGTCAAGACGTACTGCCACTGAGACCGTCAAGACGTACTGCCACTGACTGTCAAGACGTACTACCACTGAGACCGTCAAGACGTACTACCACTGAGACCGTCAAGACGTACTGCCACAGACTGTCAAGACGTACTGCCACTGAGACCGTCAAGACGTACTGCCACATACTGTCAAGACGTACTGCCACAGACTGTCAAGACGTACTGCCACTGAGACTGTCAAGACGTACTGCCACTGAGACTGTCAAGACGTACTGCCACTGAGACTGTCAAGACGTACTGCCACAGACTGTCAAGACGTACTGCCACAGACTGTCAAGACGTACTGCCACTGAGACCGTCAAGACGTACTGCCACAGACCGTCAAGACGTACTGCCACAGACTGTCAAGACGTACTGCCACAGACCGTCAAGACGTACTGCCACTGAGACTGTCAAGACGTACTGCCACTGACTGTCAAGACGTACTGCCACAGAGACCGTCAAGACGTACTGCCACAGAGACCGTCAAGACGTACTGCCACTGACTGTCAAGACGTACTGCCACTGACTGTCAAGACGTACTGCCACAGAGACCGTCAAGACGTACTGCCACTGACTGTCAAGACGTACTGCCACTGAGACTGTCAAGACGTACTGCCACTGAGACCGTCAAGACGTACTGCCACTGAGACTGTCAAGACGTACTGCCACTGACTGTCAAGACGTACTGCCACAGAGACCGTCAAGACGTACTGCCACTGACTGTCAAGACGTACTGCCACTGAGACTGTCAAGACGTACTGCCACTGAGACTGTCAAGACGTACTACCACTGAGACTGTCAAGACGTACTGCCACTGAGACCGTCAAGACGTACTGCCACTGAGACTGTCAAGACGTACTGCCACCGAGACTGGGGACAGTCAGGTTGGTCATTGGTAACAGATATAGTGTAGGGCTGTAGAGCTGGCAGGGGACAGTCAGGTTGGTCATTGGTAACAGATATAGTGTAGGGCTGTAGAGCTGGCAGGGGACAGTCAGGTTGGTCATTGGTAACAGATATACTGTAAGGCTAGGCCTGTACTCTTGCTTTGTGTAGGCCTTTAGCCTAGATAACGTCAATCAATGTACTTTTACGTATATCCTACCTGTGAAGCAAGTTTGTATCAACAACATTCATATCATGAATGTAGCCCCGTGTAGCTCAGTTGGTAGAGCATGGCGCTAGCAACGCCAGGGTTGTGGGTTCGTTTCCCACGGGGGGGGGGGGGGGGGGGGGGGGCAGTATGAAAATAAATAAAAATTATGTCGCTCTGGATAAGAGCGTCTGCTAAAATGATTAAAATGTAAAATATCACTGCAGACAGATATAGGAGCTTCCCATCTGAAATATTATGTCCCCAGGTGCTGCTTCTGCAACAGTATCTGAATGGATTAAAGCTTGGATCGGCTACAGAGAGATGTCCCCATACCGATAGCTGGTTATGAAATGCTAGATGTAATTGACAGGCTGTCGTGTTCATTAAAAATACCTACATCACTAATCCATCACATAGTGAATGGGCTCCATACTGTTCCTAGTCACTGCCAATGAATCCACAGCCCCAATAGGGATGTGGTCAAAAGTAGTGCACTATACAGGGAGCCATTTGTGAGGCATACTTTATCTCATTTGGGTAAGGCAGAGGGACTCAAGAGAAACACACTAAATGTCTTCTGTTGTATATGCTTCTGAAAAGGACTTGGATGAATCCTATAGATACACATGGAGAGGCGTGGCTTAATGTGACCACGCCCCCCCCCCCCCGAGTAGGGTACCCTCAGCCCACAGATTTCCATCATCATCATCATTGCGGTGTAAAGCCTGAAAAACCACGCGGTTCGTCTAACCTGGTCCTTGGGCAGTTGATGAAACTTGATTTGGTGGTCTATTTCTCCTACTAATGTTCAAGCAAAAACGGTACGCAACAGCTTTTCGGCATCTTAGCTATAAAAGCAGGGTTAGTTAGTTAACAATAGCTAGCTGAAAAAAGTCCATTGGTATCGACTCTGACTGATAATCATGACGTACATTCCGTGCGACAGTCTCCGTTCGTGCTAACATTTTAACGTTTAGAATCAAAAGTGTTTTTTAGGTATGACGTAGTTTGTTGATTAAGACGACGTGGAAGTATGTTAAAAAACGACCAACCAAGCAAAATGTTTCTAGAATGATATAAAGAATAACACAGCGGTTGTCGGGTTATGAGTAGAGTAGGCAGTTTAACATGGGAGTAAAGGGAGTCCACCACGTCTGTACCCTACTCGGGGGTGTGGTCACGTTAAGCCACGCCTCGCCATGTACAGTGCCTTGCAAAAGTATTCATCCCCCTTGGCGTTTTGTCCTGTTTTGTTGCATTTACAACCTGTAATTTAAATGGATTCTTATTTGGATTTCATGTAATGGACATACACAAAATAGTCCAAATTCGTGAAGTGAAATGAAAAAAAATAACTTGTTTCAAAAAATTCTAAAAAAATTAATAACGGAAAAGTGGTGCGTGCATATGTATTCACCCCCTTTGCTATGAAGCCCCTAAATAAGATATGGTGCAACCAATTACCTTCAGAAGTTACATAATTAGTTAAATAAAGTCCACCTGTGTGCAATCTAAGTGTCACATGATCTGTCACATGATCTCAGTATATATACACACACCTGTTCTGAAAGGCCCCAGAGTCTGTAACACCACTAAACAAGGGGCAACACCAAGCAAGCGGCACCATGAACACCAAGGAGCTCTTCAAACAGGTCAGGGACAAAGTTGTGGAGAAGTACAGATCAGGGTTGGCTTATAAAAAAAATATCAGAAACTTTGAACATCCCACGGAGCACCATTAAATCCATTATTTAAAAAATGGAAAGAATATGGCACCACAACAAACCTGCCAAGAGAGGGCCGCCCACCAAAACTCACGGACCAGGCAAGGAGGGCATTAATCAGAGAGGCAACAAAGAGACCAAAGATAACCCTGAAGGGTCTGCAAAGCTCCACAGCGGAGGCTGGAGTATCTGTCCATAGGACCACTTTAAGCCGCACACTCCACAGAGCTGGGCTTTACGGAAGAGTGGCCAGAAAAAAGCCATTGCTTAAAGACAAAAATAAGCAAACACATTTGGTATTCGCCAAGTGGGAGATTCCCCAAACATATGGAAGAAGGTACTCTGGTCAGATGAGACTAAAATTGAGCTTTTTGGCCATCAAGAAAAACGCTTTGTCTGGCGCAAACCCAACACCTCTCATCACCCCGAGAACACCATCCCCACAGTGAGGCATGGTGGTGGCAGCATCATGCTGTGGGGATGTTTTTCCATCGGCAGGGACTGGGAAAAATTGAAGGAATGATGGATGGCGCTAAATACAGGGAAATTCTTGAGGGAAACCTGTTTCAGTCTTCCAGAGATTTGAGACTGGGACAGAGGTTCACCTTCCAGCAGGACAATGATCCTAAGCATACCGCAAAAGCAACACTTGAGTGGTTTAAGGGGAAACATTTAAATGTATTGGAATGGCCTAGTCAAAGCCCAGACATCAATCAAATTGAGAATCTGTGGTATGACTTAAAGATTGCTGTACACCAGCGGAACCCATCCAACTTGAAGGAGCTGGAGCAGTTTTGCCTTGAAGAATGGGCAGAAATCCCAGTGGCAAGATGTGCCAAGCTTATAGAGACATACCCCAAGAGACTTGCAGCTGTAATTGCTGCAAAAGGTGGCTCTACAAAGTATTGACTTTGGGGGGATGAATCGTTATGCACGCTCAAGTTCTGTTTATTTTGTCTTATTTCTTGTTTGTTTCACAAGAAAAAAATATTTTGCATCTTCAAAGTGGTAGGCATGTTGTGTAAATCAAATGATACAAACCCCCCAAATTCCAGGTTGTAAGGCAACAAAATAGGAAAAATTCCATGGGGGGTGAATACTTCCGCAAGCCAGATTTATTATCTTTCAGTATAATAAATCTATACATTCAATACCATGTCGAATCCTATTCCTGCCCTCTCTATTCAATTGAAGAATAGGCTAATAGTATTCTCAGAACACTGCATTGCATAACATTTTCCAACTTCACTCAATCCAACACACCAAAGTGTAAATGTAATGATTTGACACGGACTCATTGTTTTCAACAGGAAGACATGAACATGTAAATGTGCACTGGTGTTGGCTTAATGAAACTGAACAATATTACACAAACACTGTCTGCTTCCTTCTGCTATGGAAAACGAATGAGATCATCTGATCCGAGTTTCCTTCAGAATAACCAGTACTTAAACTAAAACCAAATGAGATCATCTGATCTGAGTTTCCTTCATAATTTCAACAACCAGTACTGAAACTGTACTTCAAAAGATGTGTGGGAACGGCTGTTGCCAAAGGAGACCAAGGCCTGAGATGTGAGGAAGTGTTCTCAGACTCTGCCTTCTCAGAATGGACCGCTTGGCTGGGTCACTTCCTTCATAGAGGATGAGCTCATTCAGTGTGAAGTTGATAACATAACCCCAATGATACTGACTGACTGGCTGGCAGACTGGCTGACTTACTGGTTGACGTCCAATGACTGGAAATGATGTACAAGATCAATTAGATAGATTCATATTAATTTCAGGTTCTGTGTTCTAACATTGGTCAGGAAGTCAGATAATGAACTGTAAGGTGATGTCTGGTAGGCCTCATATAGCCTAATCTAATAACCCAGTCAATATCACATTCATTGGTCAACATGCATGGCCCAAGGCAATGTTATTTGTGTCTCAACAAACTCCCTAGCCAGACTTGTGACATTATTGTATCTCAACAACAAACTCCCTGGCCAGACATTATGTAGGCTATAGGTAGTGAAGTCATGATGTAGGTTAGTAGGTGTTATGACGTCATTATGCAGGTTAGTAGGCGTTATGACGTCATTATGCAGGTTAGTAGGCGTTATGACGTCATTATGCAGGTTAGTAGGCGTTATGACGTCATTATGCAGGTTAGTAGGCGTTATGACGTCATTATGCAGGTTAGTAGGCGTTATGACGTCATTATGCAGGTTAGTAGGCGTTATGACGTCATTATGCAGGTTAGTAGGCGTTATGACGTCATTATGCAGGTTAGTAGGTGTTATGACGTCATTATGTAGGTTAGTAGGCGTTATGACGTCATTATGCAGGTTAGTAGGCGTTATGACGTCATTATGCAGGTTAGTAGGCGTTATGACGTCATTATGCAGGTTAGTAGGCGTTATGAAATCATTATGCAGGTTAGTAGGCGTTATGAAATCATTATGCAGGTTAGTAGGCGTTATGACGTCATTATGCAGGTTAGTAGGCGTTATGACGTCATTATGCAGGTTAGTAGGCGTTATGACGTCATTATGCAGGTTAGTAGGCGTTATGACGTCATTATGCAGGTTAGTAGGTGTTATGACGTCATTATGTAGGTTAGTAGGCGTTATGACGTCATTATGCAGGTTAGTAGGCGTTATGACGTCATTATGCAGGTTAGTAGGCGTTATGACGTCATTATGCAGGTTAGTAGGCGTTATGACGTCATTATGCAGGTTAGTAGGCGTTATGAAATCATTATGCAGGTTAGTAGGCGTTATGAAATCATTATGCAGGTTAGTAGGCGTTATGACGTCATTATGCAGGTTAGTAGGCGTTATGAAATCATTATGCAGGTTAGTAGGCGTTATGACGTCATTATGCAGGTTAGTAGGCGTTATGACATCATTATGTAAGTTAGTAGGTGTTATGACGTCATTATGCAAGTTAGTAGGTGTTATGACATCATTATGTAGGTTAGTAGGTGTTATGACGTCATTATGCAAGTTAGTAGGTGTTATGACGTCATTATGCAGGTTAGTAGGTGTTATGACATCATTATGTATGTTAGTAGGTGTTATGACGTCATTATGCAAGTTAGTAGGTGTTATGACGTCATTATGTAGGTTAGTAGGTGTTATGACATCATTATGTATGTTAGTAGGTGTTATGACGTCATTATGCAAGTTAGTAGGTGTTAT